TGCCAAGAAGCAAAGGTTTCCAGGTTTCAAAGTGGTGCAGGATTTCGTCCATTCACAGTACTAACCTTCAACTACCCGGGTTTTGATTGTGGCTCTCCCTGAATGCCTGTCCTCCACGTCGCACGGCGCCGGCTCTGGCCACAAGGTTCTGGCGGCCGGGTCCTGCACAAAAACAAGTTCGACCATCGGGCCAGCAACTGGACTGCACGGGCTTGAATAGCTAACATGGGTGTTGTGGAATTTTGCCCCAGAGACCGCGCGTCAGGAACAGAAAACCAAGGACATGTGTGGAGCGGAGGGGCAGCACGTTTTTGGTCTGCTCACAACAAGAACCCTGATGTGGTGAAACCAAGCCCTCGTCATAGGAGATGCCAATTCTTGTCCAAAGGTTCTGCGCCTGGTGCTACATCAACAACACGTGAGACACAAGCCTGGTACTAAACGGATCTACCCAAAACTCAAAGAATTAAAGGGCGGCTGCACCTACTTCTCGTTGCGACTATCCCGTCCATGAAACAGTTTCCACTTTGGGCTGACATCCGCATTTCGCCGTGTCAATCATTCCGATTGTCTCATGAAAAGCCGTCAACGTCCTGTCCGAGTGGACTTGACCCTGCGCCTTGTGCCATGTCTGCCGCTTGAGTTTTCTTCGGACGCTGTCAAGGCCCGGTAGGTAAAGTTCGTAGAAGACGCCTAAATGATGGCCAAGTTGCTGCTTTTTCCAGTCCCTGTTGCTGGTTTTTGAGGTAAAGTGCATGGAAAACAACAGCAACTGTTCTGATAGAGAGCACACGGTCACTTAGCCCTTACGAAGACTAGGAGACGCCGTGAGAGATGACTTTGGTTGTGAGGTGACTGGGCCTAGACCCTGAAGAAGTTAAGAAACCCAAAAAACAAAAAGGGCAAACGGGTTTCGCTAAAGCCCAGTGAAAAAGGCGATGTGTCAAAATAGGGGCACCCCTCCCCCTTCATGGGTTGGAAACCGATGCCTTCCCTTACCGCACAAAGCAAACAAGTACCATCTCGAAAAAACACACACACACACACACACACACACACACACACACACACACACACACACACACACACACACACACACACACACACACACACACACGCACGCACACGCACGCACACACGCACGCACGCACGCACGCACGCACGCACGCACGCACGCACGCACGCACGCACGCACGCACGCACGCACGCACGCACGCACGCACGCACGCACGCACGCACGCACGCACGCACGCACGCACGCACGCACGCACGCACGCACGCACGCACGCACGCGCACGCGCACGCGGACGCGCACACGCACACGCACACGCACACGCACACGCGCACACGCACACCCGCACACCCGCACACCCGCACACGCACACGCACACTCACACGCACGCACGCCCGCCCGCCCGCACGCAAGCACACACGCCTTTCCCTTCAGCTCTCCTCGCGGACAGATGGCTCCCTTTGTCGGGGCCACCCGAATCTCTCCAGGTCCTGGCAAGCAAGCGGATCGCGCGGATCGCATCTGTCGCGGGCCAAAGGCGGCCTAATAGAGACTAGAAATACACAGGGCTAGCAGCTAGATATGGCCTAACTGTTGTTCAACAATGGCCAAATATGTTTGGTGAGGGAATCAGACCTGTGCAAATATCTATTGATCCTATCCATCAGAGGAATCTGGAAAGCGACTTCCTTTCTCGCGGGTCCATGGCAATTTGCAGCGCGTAATTTCCATGCGGGTGAAACCGTGAAGGCTCTGGGCTACGCCCAAAATAATAGTCTCAGATTCTTCATCATATATACTTCAGATTCTTCATCATATATAGTCAACCCAAACACATCACTCATTCGGGTGTGTGCATTTTTGAAGGTGCCTTTTTGGGGTGTTCCCCCACATACCCTCCCACCAACCTACATGGAACCTGACGTTTGGGGGCGTCCAAAAAAAGGCGTTTTCCTTTCAATGTGACCCGAACAATTGATGGAAGGGCACCCACTGTCTGAAGGGATCCGAGGAAGTCCCCACCATATCGTGTCCGTAGCTCTCCCCGCACCTCGCGGGCAACTGGCTCGGCTGGCCAAGGACGGAGCGCGGGCTCCTGCGCCGAAAAGCATCAGTCGCAACCCGGTGCCATGAGAGCGTAGGCATGTTGTACATGTCGACGTGTGTACGCCATGTGTATGTATACATATATGAATAAATAAAATATTATATACATATATATATGTTTTTTTTTGACCTGTGTACATGTACGTGTATAGGGATGAAGAGATGAGGAAGTGAGTGAAGGAAAGAGATCAAGAAATGGGTATGCGACTCCTTTCTTCCCCATTTCCTCTCTCCTTCTCACTCTCTTATCCTCACTTCCATTTACCTTCCATCATGAAGTTATCACGTATACAGTATACAAATTGAGGATGGAAAGATAAGGAATGAAAGTGGGTGGAGATGATGGTTGGTGGCTTCTGGGGTCTCTTTTTGCCACCATCATATTATCTCATCCCCTTTCTCAATCTTACATGTGCGTGTGTGCAATTATATTCATGGTATGCTTAGTTAACTACGTGAGCGTTGCAAATATGCAAATAAATATATATATATATATATGTATATATAGATATGTGGGTGCAGACCCGTTAGGAGTTCCAGCTGACAGCATCTTTATTTGCGTGCCCACGCTGTTAGCGATGATCACGGCGGAGCTCAGCAAGAAGGAGCCGGGGGGGGCGGGGGGGATGACAACGTTTAGCTTCACGAGCACACGCGCTTGCCATCTCGCCTGGGCCTCAAGCGCGTTTGCGCACGGAGGCGCGCAGGGTTCTCAAGGCTCCGCAGGCTGAAGGTCAACTGGGGCTATCGTTCATACCGCCGGCCTTTTTAAGAGGCGCGCCCCGCACTGCCTGCGTAAAAGTCCGCATGCAAGGTTTGCTGAAAGCATTCCAATGCCTCCCTGACATGACACGGCATAAGGTAGTGGATTTGTAACCGATGATCGATGGCAAACAAAAATGATTGCTGCTCAGTAGGGAACCCTTGTCTCACAAATATGGATATACATATTTCATATGCATAAATACATAATTAATTATATATATATATACTCACCGCATATGATCTCCAACATACATCTTTAACACATGGCGATTCACCAACCTGAAATGTGGGAGTCTCGAGAAAGGATCTATCATCATGGGTGAGGTTGCACATCCAAACAACACTTGGGGTGGGCACCAACATTTCCCGGCGAGGTGGGTAGGTCGCTGTCTTGGTTCTGCTCCAAGCAACAACTCATATGTTCGGAAAAATGTTGGCGCTTGTGGCGACAAACAGAGTTGCCTGAATCATTGCAAGGGACTCCAGGGTATAGTCTTTTGCCAGACTAAGGCCAACCATGATTCATGAGTTCTGGAAATCCTCTGACATGTTTATATAATGGAACGAACCCTGTAACCCTTGTGCCGCTGTAGCTGGCTCCCGATCTTCCCCTGCCAGGGCCTTGCTGCGCGCGTCAGCCTAAGGGCCACGAAAACTTGAAGCCTGTTCCCAAAAAACAGACAACGGATAAAATCATTCAACGGAAAAATGATGGGGGGGGTCAAACCCTATCTGTTGATCTAACTGTTGATGCTTGTTTGATCAACTGCCTGTGGCATGTATGGATGCGGCACACCTCCCGATTTCCCCTATCCTGGCCGCGCACCGCCGGCTCCCAGAAGGGAGCGCGCACAGGTGGCTCCTGGCGCCATTTAATGGCTCCAAATCCATCACAAGCGAGTTGAAATGGAACCCAAGTGGATCCCCCAAAAACCAGCTTCCTCCGGGAGCTGTCTGGTTTATCATGTTCATTTGCGGTTGTTTCAGGTTCGAGTGAAGAACGGCTAGGCGACCTTCGTCGATCCAGTCGTTGTGCAATTTCAGCCGTGCAGATTAGGATGCAACCTAGAAAATAAGCATTTGTACCGCGCAGGAATCTCGCTAGGGAGACCTCTCCTGGATCGCCAGTCACTGTTTCTGTCCATGCACTTTACCCCAAAAATCAGCACCAGTGACTGAAAGAAACCGCAACTTGACTCTCTAGGCTGTTGCGTTTTATAGGTTCATCTGCCGCGAATCTGCCGAGGTTCAAAAGTAAAAGTCACGGCCTTGGAGTCCACATCATCCCGGACGGGATTCAAGCAGTGGACACCTTGAGTCAAGGGGAAACGAAAGCCAAGTCGGGCAGTGGCAGCACTTCCTCCATTCTTGCATCTGCAGAGAAACGCAAGTACAACCTGCCCTGCGACACCCCATCAAGCAGCAAGAGCACGGGGCTCTGAGTCGAAGCTTTTTACTAAACGGCCCAGCCTTTGAAGCTAAGCGCCAGTGGAGTAGCCAAAGCCCCGCTCGGCAAGCGAGGGCAGAAACCGGAGCAAACACAAATAACGCCATGAAACCATGTTTCTTGACAGCGCCTTCAGCCGGCCAAGTGTTTCTCCCCAAGACGGCCAAGCAGAGCAAAGCACATCTTCCGATTTAGATCCTACGACGAACTACACCTACAACCTGGCCCCTGCCCAGCCGCGAGTTCTTCAAACACTCGGACCTCCCTTTGGGTCAGTGCTCAAGGTCCAACAACTCTCACTACAAAATGGCCAAAAACAACCCTTATTAAGCAAACCACAGCAACCCTGATGACCCGTGGTAAAAATTTCGGCAAGAGGGTCGCCAAACCAAAGCAGTCCCCACAAGGTGGTCCACGTCTTCGAAGCCAGCGGTCTGGTAAGGGCCGGTTCTTCAAAGGGCAATTGAGGGGGGTCGTCGGTTTTGTTCCCTCCGAACATATCATGGACATGCAGAGTTTGCAAAATCGTCCAGAGCCTCTGTCAAAGTCGCCAAAGGGTCCAGCTTTGTGCTCAAGCGGTCGTGGACGTAACACAAGGGCCACATAACTACACACACACTTGCAAATGCGCATGACTTAGTTTGGTTTTAAAGTCCCCCGCAACCCCGATTCAAATTACTTCCTCCCTATCCTCATTGGACACCACGGGAGCCCAACCACGACGAACCCCAACTGGATGTTGCGCCGCTCGCGCGGCACGGCCGCTTGGCGGCCAATTTCCGCTCGGCACCTTTGGCCGATCACATCCTGGCAAGGCAAAGGCGTAGCTCATGCGGTCACCATAGAGGACCCCAGAATGGTGGTTGTGCTTTGACTCCCCTTTAGACCCAAACTGCAAAATGGTCCCCTGCAAAACACCCAAAACAAAATACAAAAGGCCAGGCGCTTAGCCTCGATGACCTCCTGGGTCAACACACATCAACACACACGATTATGCAGTATGGGTCTATCAATGTGCCTTATGGTGTCTGATTCGGTGGATCATGATGGCATATCAAAGCTGGGGATGCTGCTGGATTCCCTTCAAAAGAGAATTATGAAGGCACCGAAATAGAAACCCGGGATGAGAGGAACCTTCAATTGCAAACCTCCTTGTCAGGTCGCCATCCTTTACCCAATGTGTGCAGGCACGGTGAGTGTGGGCGGGCCGCCAAGTGGGGGTTGGCTTTTGTTTACATGAAGCAGGGGAAACGCCAGCTCAGCTATGTAAATACCTTACTCTCCCGCAAGCCGACTGAGCTCCCAGGATCTTTCGGGAAAACGAGCTTCCTCGTGAAACAAATGTGTTTCACGGAGCTTCAGTCTGTTTGTAACAGAACTGGGTTCCCACTCCCCCCAAACCAGCGCTCTGAACGTGAAATGGAGAGACAAAACTTCTGTACTGTTCGCTTTGCCCTTCAGACTCAGCTGTGGAAGGGTGTTCATCGGCTCAAAATGTTGACCAGCCGGCGGTTGCCGCAAAGCGCAGGAGCAAATTGGCAAGCCCAGGGGGGGAAATCAGGCACCCCACGCTCTGAGTCGGGAGGTGCCATTCTTGGAGGTCCAAAAACATAGGATGGCACTTGTTGAGTCCACACCCACAAGAAATCAGCTGGAGCACTTCAGAAATCGTTCTTTTACAAGTTGAAGACCTAAGTTGCTTGGAACTTGTAAGCCCGTAAGGAACTTATAAGTTAAGTAGGAACTTATGCTAACTTAACTTAGCCAACTTACAAGTCCGAAATCAGTTCCATAACTTCAAGGGCTGCTTTTGGCTTGTTTCTTTTGCTCAAAAGCTAAACTAGGCTGGCAAACAAATCTTAACTTAGTTCCTTCCAGACTTTTAGCATCAAATTCACCTAGGCCCTCCACCTGTAAACAAGTAGCCTAAACCGAGCAGTCCGGGTTTTGGTCCCTCCCAACCCTGGTCTCAGGCCCCCAGGCGCTCGCCACAACTTCTCCTGGCGGGGCGTCTGGACCGGGTGGCTGGTTGCCGATGTCCCAGAAGCCCGCGGTTTTTTGGGCCGGGGCGGCTCTTTTGCAGGGAAAATGAAGGGCCCCCCCGTGAAAGTGCAGGAATCCCTGAGTGAGGGGGGGGCCCAAATCGGTGTTGGGCACTGTACTTCTCTGGCCCTTGGCCCATGAATCCAGCGCGGTGGCTTCCTTGCCAAACACCCGCCAAGACCAAACCTTGGTTGCTTTCTGCTCCTCTGCTAAAAGTTTAACTTTTAGTGGTTTAATGGAAAACCCATCGGTTGGCAAAAAGTTAAAGTCCTAACATCCAAGCAAAATGCACCAAATAAACAATAAGGAATGCTTGTTGAAAACAAAATGATGCTTCAGAAAGATGGGATCAACACCAAGAGCAATCGTTTTTTCCAGAAAGCCACGGCTTTCTAAACCAGGCAAAAGAGCTGGCTTTTCAAGCGTATCCTTGACCAAGATGTGGGAAAAACCGCGAGAGTTGCGCTTCTGGCCGCTAGCTCTGGATATGCCGCTTCAAAAACTGATGCATAAACATGTGCATGCCCCGACCGACGTGTGTCTAAGGATCACCAGAAACATATTGATACATGATTTATCCTTCCAAAACCTAAATCTCCCAACTGTTGACCCAAAAGCCATGCTGCGCATGGACGAAAAATATGTTACCACTTCGCGCGTGCTTGATTCCAGTCCCAAAGGGACTTTGTCCGTCCACAGTGTAGGCTGGCTTCCGGTGAGCTCGGCAGAACAATAAAATGATACAAACATGGAACTGAGCGGTGTCCGTTTGGAGCTCAAAACCAAACAACACTCCCTTTTGGGCCTGTGGATGCCGCGCAAAAGAAAGACCCAGTGATCACCTTTGGGAGCTTCACAAAACATGGAGAAAACGCGGGAAACCAAAAAGTAAAAAGGTCGATTCGTTCTGGGCAAGAAAGGAAGAGAGTCAACTCGCAGGGCTCGGGTTCCAAGGACGGAATCCAAAACCCTGATTGGCGGGGGGGGGGGGGGGGGTGGTTCGAAAACGCCCGCGTAAGCCAAAACGGAAGGCTGGTCGCTTCACTTTTGGCCACGGCTCCGCCCAACAAAGCCCGCATTCACATCCATTTCCTTTGCGGGCTTTTAATTGAAAAGGGGGCCAACAAAGGAGTGGCTTCCAAACAAAGGCACGCGCACGCAAAACGGAATTGACGCTAAATTTCTGCTCAGCGTTGGTGAGAGCAACAATTTTGAGCGGGACGAACAGCCAGCAACGCTAAATCGTTTCTGGAAACACGGTTTCCCCAGTAACCACGACACACCAAAATCGCTCGCGAAAATGAGAACTGGGCGACATCAGCAACGAAGTGTGGTCGTTTAAGACCAAAAAGGGATTCCACCACCGGCCCCGTTCTGTTCTTGGCTCTCGGCAAGGGACCAATATTCTCCCCCTTTCCTCCCGTCCATTCCGCCCGTCGAAAACGCCGACCTTTGGACAGGCGGAGCGCGTCTAGGACCGCCCGCAGCCGCGCTACGCGGTCACGCGTCCCAAAGACCTGCGCCAGCAAGCTGCGGGGCTCACGCAAGGACCTGGCGAAGTGGCGAAGGGGTCGGTGTGGGCGTGGGTGTGGGTGGGTGCTTGTGGGTGCGAGTGCGGGTGGGCGTGGGTTGGGTGTGGGTTGGGTGTGGGCCAACTAACCGAAATCAACATGGAAGTGCACCGGCTTCCCGCAAGGACAGTCGAAATCCACGTCAATTGGTGGGAATGTATCTCTGGTGTTCTCGATGGCCTAGCTGTGGACGCAGAAAGCTTCTGAAAGAGCGCGCAAAGGAAGCGGCCGGTGAAACCCGCTGGCAGTCTCAAAAAAGGGGGAAACCCCTGGCTTGATTCGCGTTCAAGCCCAAAAGAGGGTTTCCACCAAACGAAGACACACCTAAATGTTGTTTCATTCAGCAAGTCAGAATGTCGTCTTCGGTAAAGGACAGCCAAAGGAAGTTTTTGAACAATGGCGAATTGAACTTGGTCTGAAAAGTCGGTCGGCCAACCCGGAAAGGGGAGAGGCGCGAGAACCTGCACCCCCCCCTCCCTGCAAAAAGCCCAAACCACACCCACCCCCTCTTCCACCCTCCACCCTGCGACAATCTGGTCATCTCATCCTTTGAACCCCCCCCCCAAAAAAAAAGACAAGAAAGACACACACACACACACACCGCCTCCCCCCCAACCCACCTTCGCTCCCCACCCCCCCTGGAACCTCTCGAGGAGATCCCTGGCCGCGCCGAGCAGAGTTAGAAGCTCAAGCTCCGCGCGCGGGCGCGCGGCACGACCCTGCGCCAGCTGCACCTCAGAGAATGGGCGGATCTCAATATGGCTTTGGCTGGTTTTGAAGGAGGGCCAAAGAAGAACAAGCCAGTTCTTGGGGCCCAGTTTCAGACACTGCCTTGCGAATGATACGCTTGGGTGGACTCTGTTTGGGTGTGTCTTCAATGACGGATTTGGACCCACCAAACAGAATCATGTGGCGGGATATGGGGACGTGTGAAAATATTGTGCTGCATATGGGAGGTGTACAGGGGTTACATTGGCGGCGGGGGGCGGGGCGCACAATAAAGATGGGGAGGGGGTGCACAATGAACATGGGGGCAGGCACGTAACCAACATTCTGCGATACCAAGGAAGAGCCTTTAAAGCATTGAAGCGACCAGGCAGTCATATTATGGATGGAACTCCCACTTTAATATCACAGGAAGAGTTGTTACTCACAACCACGAAGGACAATCCACAATTGTTGACTTCCCCAAAACGAAAACAAAAGGTGATGAATTCTTCTTCAATTTTTCAGTCCTGCACTGACCCTTTTAGTTCTCCACTCACATGACTGGTGGTAAGAAGGTAGATACCTATTTTCCCCCTCCTTGGAAAGTACTATACTTGGACCCTTTGGGTAAAAGCTCGCTGGTTCTCAGTAGCGAATGAGGGAACGACCACGACAAATCTCCTATACGGTGTCCTTTAAGGGAAGCCTCCGGTTCATTCCCAAAACCCAGCCGGGGTCATTCCCTACTCAGCACCAGCAAAGAAAACGACTGGCGCCCTGTTCATCAACAACACGGGTCCCAGACTTAGGGAAAGACCAACGTTTGTGCCCCGTCGGCTTCTAACAACAGGGATCCTTACATTATACACCTGAACATTGCCTTGTAAATGGTGGTTTCCCTTTATTTTGCCGGAAAAAGCCTTGTTTCAAATGGGCAGAGTGTTTTCCTTTTAAGGAACCCTCAACAAGTCGTACTTCCCCCCCCCCCACGTCTCTCCGTCGCCTTCATGAGGCACCTCTCCAGGTGCTCCAGGAGCGTATCGAGCTCGCCGGATACCGCCTGCGGAAGCTCTGGCTGGGAATTCTACCCCGCCGCCTTTGGTCTATTGGTGCCCAAGAGGCTGCTGCACGTGGGGTTTTTGTTTAGGGACCCCAAAATGACCGGCGTCCCTTTAGTTTCCCTTTCAAACGACCACAAAACAGGCACACTCCAAAAAGCACCCCCGGAGAAGAGCTCATATCGGCACATGTGTGTGTGTGTGTGTGTGTGCTGTGTGTGTGTGTGCGCGCTTGTTTTTGGAGGCGTGGTAATTGTTTTCACCTTGGTCTGATTGGAAACCAAAAGCAACGCCAAGCCATTTGGGTTGTGGTCCCCGTTTTTAGAGACAACCACTATCAAGGTTCCCATTACGCAGACCCTGATTGGGACGTTCAACCAATTTAGTTGGTTGCGTATGTGATAACTTCTTGCACGCGCCCTTACCAAGGATACAACCTAAGAGGATTGAACACCAAGCCATTCACACCCCCTTCAGCACGGCCAAACGTCCCTTGAAAAAAACAAAATTGAAAGGGGCACCTGAGGCACCTTGGGCGGCTGGTCCAAAAATGAAACTGGCCATATTGTTGACAAGCAGACCAACCATTTTAGCGAACCCCTATTTCGAGAACCGCCTATACCCTGACAACCCCTCAACGGAAAAATAAAACCCACCTACTCCCGCACGCTTCGCTTCGGATCGCCTGTGCAGAGGTTGCCAAGGAGTCAGACACGCTGCGGCACATGGGCCCCGGCGCCTGCCGTCCGGCAAAAAGGCTCAACCAAGCACGGCGGAAGTCGACCTACCTAAGCACACATCAAAGAGCCTCAACCTACATCATGGGGGAGTTCGCTTTACCCCTTGGGAGGCCTGATCGGTTCAAAGGACGGCTCCCCCGCCTGCTCCGCAGCAGTGGGTTCCGAAAGGCTACGGCAAACGGGCGCCTGACGGCGCGGGGCTTGGGGTTTGGCCGGAAGAGGGTGGCTTCGCTTCGCTTCCCTGATACCCCAGAATTCTGCAGGATGTGATCTGCCTGCACGCGTTCAATGTTGGACCTGGGAAGCCGTCTCGGCGATCACATGTTCAGCTGCGGAGTGCGAGCTTTTCCCCCCCCCCCCACCCCTCTTCGGGAAACACCGATTGAGAGACACAACAAAGGATGCTCAAACTATCAGTCTGACGTGAAGCAACCGGAAAATGAAATCCCTGAAAAGGACCAAGGAACCCCTGATGCTCAAGCACTCACTCTCTGTCAAAATCCAAACAGAGTGAGGGAAAGGGGAACCTCGAGGATGCTCAACATGCTTCAGCCCTTCCTCGTCGGTCTCGGGCAGGGCCACGAGCGTGGCTGTGGGCGCTTCGCGCACGGCCTGCAGATCCAAGCCCCAAACACTCGCAAAAAGGTGCCAGCCCATGGAGGAAAAACAGGCCAAAACACGGGCGGAGTCTTGATAGTGCCTTTTATAAAAGGAGTTATTTCACTGCTAAAACCTCGCAGAAGGGGCATTTGTCTTGAGGGTATACCGTCCACCTCAATGGTTCTCCCAACAACATAACACATATACAGAAAATGTATGTATATATATATATATGGTCACCCCTCCCCCAGGGCCTACCTTTCTACTTTTTGCATGAAAGAGATTTATAAAGTTGCAGATGTTCAGTGTCCATTTGCAGATGCCTTGCAGAAAGCACTGTGTTTTACGGTGTTTATGCGATTTTTGATATTGTGCCAGATGTTCTTTCTGTACTTGATGCAAAACGAGACTCAAAAAAGCAATAAACACGAAAACGGAAGCGGTTTCAGATGCAACTTTGTCAGTGCTGAAAAAACTGTTATTTGCAGTGTGTTTTAAGGAAACTGTAAAAAGCACCTGCTTTGTTTTCTTTCTTGTTTTTTCTCGTTTTTTGTGGTTTCAGCCTCAAGCAGCACACAGGCTGAAACAATGCAAAACACCAAACCTGAAAGCTCTAAAACCTGCACCGGCTCAAAAAATGCAAGCAATGCGAAACCCAGATGCAATGTCAAAGGTCAGGGCTTGATTGGTCTGGTTGTTTGAATATGTTTACCAAAAAAATGAGCCTGTGCAGGTTTTGGAGCTTTCGGGTTTGGATGACAAAGGATGGAGACAAACTCAGCCTTAACTTGATCCAGGAAGATGATGTGCTTCAGGAGGAAGTGCTGCCATTTAGGAATACGAAGAACAACAAGTTGAAGATTATATGACATACCAGGAGAAGTCTTCAAGTGAAAGGGCGCTGGCATGTCCGCAAAGCGGCCATCCTTAGCCGCGCTGCTGACTTGAGATTGCAAAGTAGCATCGTTTGCCTTGCTCGTCCTGGTGGGGATGAGCGAGAGGAAGGTCAGTAGGCGAGACAGGACCATGAGGCAAGTCCGCGACATTGGGCTTGGGCAAGTTCTTGTGGAAGAGCGCGTTAGTGGCATCAGGGCCGTTTCCAGAGAGATTGTCACTGGCTTCCGACATCATAGCTACAAGAAAAAAGAGACACTTTGAATGACTCTGATTGAGCTTCTAGCAGCAGAGCAATATATAAAGGAAACTGTGTGTGACATCAAAGCGACAAATGTACATATGTATATATATATATATGGTACCGTGCTCCGTGTTGCTACCCCCCCTCTCAGATGGCCCCCCCCCCCCCGAGCCCCCGGATCCTAGCACCTACGGTCCCACCCCCACCCCGAACACCTGAACTTGCACCCCGACACCCCGGCCCCCACCTTCATATGTTCAGGACAAGCCAACCCGCAACCAACCATAAACCAACCCTAAACTAACCCAAAAACCAACCCTAAACACACCCCTAAAAAACCCTAAACCGTAAACCTCTAAACCTAAACCAAGCCTAAATCAACATAAACCAACCCTAAACCAACCCTAAACGAACCCTAAATACACCCTAAACCAAACCCTAAACAATAAACCCTAAACCTAAACCAACCCTAAACCAACCCTAAACCAATCCTAGATCAACATAAACCAACCCTAAACCATAAACCGTAAACCTAAACTAACCCTAAACCAATCCCAAATCAACATAAACCAACCCTAAACTAACCATAAATACACCCTAAATACACCCTAAATACACCCTAAAGCAATTCTAAACCAACCCTAAACCAACCACCACCACAACCCAACCACAGGACCACAGGGTGGCGGGTATGACCATTGGGGGGGGGGGCAACGCTGTATATATATATATATGCTCACCCCCTACTCTTGAAATTAGCAGTTTTCTAGACTGTACAAGTGAAAAGGTAGGCCGGGGGAGGGGGGGGTGAGCATATATATATATATATATATCTAGAGATATACATAACTGGCAAAGCCGAAATTGGGGGAGCTGAAACGGTCATGGCCGGCGCAGCTCTGCAGGAAACCATTTGTCATTTGAACTGGCGTGGGGGGGGGAATGCAGGGCATGTTCCCGCTGGGCGTTTCAAGATAAAACAAACAGAGATCAAGCATTTCTCCCCTCCCCCGCCCCTTTTCAGGAAACACCAGTTGAGAGCCACAACAATTGAACGCAATACTCGGAGAGCTATTATATGTCAAAGCCATTGCACCTCCATAGCCACAACTCAACCCTGTTACATAAATAACCACATGTCCCTTCCAAGTAAAAGACACTTTCAAGGAACTTTCACTTGTAACTGGCAAACTGGGCGGATCCCATGGACATCCCCTGGACCCGCCTGTCTCATCGACTTGGAGCCTCTGATCGCTCTGAACCATGCAATGACCTAAGCCAAAGGTGGGGCGTTGGGCTGTGCCAAGAGTCGATTTTGTGCGTTGAGAACCCAAGAAAACCCACAGCCTATATAACATGGTTGCAACACAGACCCGTTCTTTAAGTCCACCATACGTTTTGTTGTGCCTTGTAATCGGATCCTGAGCTGGATGTTCTTTATCCGCGAGGACATCGTCAGGACTGGGCCACATTCTCAGCTTTAAACCACTATGCTTGAAACACCCTTTCAAGGGACCAAGAGGTGATTGTCTTTAAACAAGAATGCCTCTGAGAATTGTTCCCGAGAAGGCCTCTTTTTCTAGATCCTCTTTCTGGACATGGACCATGTCGGTTTTTGGGCAACTACCGCCCACTTTTAAAGGAAACCCACAGGGAAACCTCCGTTGTAGCGCGAAGCTTGGGTGGGCTCCCAACGACTTCGTCACCCAAAGCTCCAGCGGATTTCCAGCACAACGGAGTGCAATGAGTTGCGCAGAAAGGGGCCCTGGCGGGCAAACCCGCCAAAAGCAGATTCCTCTAATCATAGAGGGTTTCTTCGCCTGCACTTATCTGCAGGGGAGAGGGAACGGGTATCAAATGGAAGTGCCTGCCAATTGTACGACCGGAAAATAGGAGTCCCAAACCCCACCGGCAACACTTGTTCCACCACCGGCAACAGTTGAGCGACTCTAAAAACTTCCCATGAATCCCCATGTCGTGCTAACGCGTGAGCTTGCGCTTTCCTGACGCGACCAATGTTTTAGCTTACGCGGCATCACTTACGTTTCCCCTCAAGAATGTGCTTACGCAGGCCGCTTTTCCCATGCAGCCGCCAGAACTGTTCAAGATGACGCGGATGACTCTCAGGCAGAAGATGACTAAGAACCACCCTCACGAGTTTTGGCCTTGGCGTTGTTGTTCTTACTTCCGGTCAAGAAACGGCTTGCGCGCCGGCAGGGGGCTAGAGGGCAGCCGAGCCTGCCTAGCTTACGCGAACCTTACGCGCCTGCTTACGCGAGCTTACGGGCCCGAGCCCCTTTAGTTTTCCGAAGCTTGCTGTTTCAGAAGCCCTTGCTTGTGCTAGTAAAGGTGTGTCAACAGCACCTGGCATTAGCCCCAAGGGCTTACGCGGGTGCTTAAGCGGGATGTTTCCTCAAAAAGTGTTTACGCCGGCTTACGCCGTACAGGGTTTTGCTTACACATACCCGGTGAATCCTTAGAAATCACCTAGATGGTCATTGGTGAACTATACGCAAGTATTAGAGGTGAATGATTTCAGACTGGCTGTTGAACTACTGAGCAGCTCTTCGAAAAAGAAAAAGAAAAACAACTTTGCATCCCAAGCAAGAGTTGTGTCATAACAAGACCCCGTGCTGGCATGTGTCAATTAGATATCGGGACCCAGGGTGTTCACCCTTCGAACTCATTGAATCTTCCAAAGCAAAAGCAAGTCCAGTGGAGATTTGAATTCGCTCCACCAGAACTAGATCCAATGCCTGGACAACGTGACACTCATTCTTTATTTTGATCACCCTCCCAACAAACATCAAATTGCACAGGCCCCTTCTGGAAGACGGTTATTTCCCTTGGAAGCACGCGCTCTTCAGTCTTTGTCCTCCCGCCCAAAATCACATGGAACTCAAAGACGGGGGCCTGAGCCCGAAAGGTTTGCTGTCGGACGGGTGACGGGTACTCCGCTGATTCCCCAGGATGCTGCTCTGCGAATGCGGCAATGGAAGGTTCTGATCTACGCGGAAGCAAGTGGCAGCAAAAACGCCGTGGACAAAAAACACGAAAACGCCAGGAGCGCCGCGATGCGCCAAAACCTTGGAACATGTGAGGAACCTATTTCTTCGGGGAACTAAATCCTGCGCACGCATTGGTACACTCAGTCAGGAGGCAAAACGAAGCGATCCTCAAAATGTAGAAGTCACTAAGAGTAGATCCAACTATACCAGCAAGCCTCAAAAAGTCCTAAATCAGGAGAGAAAACTAGACCACGGTTGGCCCGAAAGCATAACATCGCAAGCGAGGTCGGCCCAACGCTGCAGAATGCGTTCTTTTTCCCTACACGAAGAACAGCACCAGGCAAGGTGCTCTGCGCAAACTGGTCGGTGCAAGTTGGTCTGCGCAAGTTGCTCTACGCAAGTTGCACTGTGCAAGTTGCTCTGCGCAAGTTGCTCCGCGCAAGTTGCTCCGTGCAAGTTGGTCCCTGCAAGTGGCTCCCTGCAAGTTGCTCTGTGCAAGTTGCTCTGTGCAAGTTGCTCTGCGTAAGTTGCTTTGCGCAAGTTGCGATAGGCAAGGCGCTCTGCGCAAACTGGTCGGTGCAAGTTGGTCTGCGCAAGTTGCTCTGTGCAACTTGCTCTGCGCAGGTTGCTCTGCGCAAGTTGCTTTCTGCAAGTTGCATCTTGCGACGCCCGCCCGCGGACCAGGGAGGAATCGAACCCGCGACCTGCTGGTCCTGGGAGCAGGCGCGCGAACCACGAGACAACTCCCGAGGACCAGTTCGAACAACAAAAGGCTCGAGTTTTTGCACCTCGACCACTCCGATGCGCATCGAGTTTTTGCACCTCGACCACGCTGATCCCCGCAGAGGGTCGCGCGCGAACTTTAGAAATCGCAAAAAACCTCGAGTTTTTGCGCCTCGACCACGCCGATCCCCGCAGAGGGTCGCGCGAGCATGTTAAGAATCGTAAAAAAACCTCGAGTTTTCGCACCTCGACCACGCCGATCCCCGCAGAGGGTTGCGAACTTTAGAAATCGTAAACAAAAAACCATGAGTTTTTGAACCTCGACCACGCCGATCCCCGCAGAGGGTCGCGCGAGCCCAAACAAAATCGCAAAAAACCTCGAGTTTTTGCACCTCGACCACGCCGATCCCCGCAGAGGGTCGATTTTCGTGTAGTGTCGTCGGCACTACCCCGCCGCCCTAAGAAGAGATTTTATCTCCTCGCAAGTCAATTGCACGTGACCCCTTGCACTTGCAACTTGCACTTGACTCCATGCACTTGCAACTTGCACTTGATTCCGTGCACTTGGCTCCTTGCACTTGGCTCCTTGCACTCGGCTCCTTGCACTTGGCTCCTTGCACTTGCAACTTGCACTTCACTCCATGCACTTGGCTCCTTGCACTTGGCTCCTTGCACTTGGCTCCTTGCACTTGCAACTTGCACTTAACTCCGTGCACTTGCAACTTGCACTTTCCTTGCAATGACTCCTTGCCATGACTCCTTGCAATGACTCCTTGCAATGACTCCTTGCAATGACTCCTTGCAATGACTCCTTGCAATGACTCCTTGCAGTGACTCCTTGCAATGGCTCCTTGCAATGACTTCATGAGAACAAATCAAGTGAACCCAGCGGAAGAACCCTTCGCCATGCTTTCGGGAAAAAGCAAAGTCGCTCCTATTTTGCAAATCAAAGTCAACCCTGCTGTTCGTCGGGTTGGCGAGTCGCAGGGCCTCCCTTTTCTTTAAGCCCAACCTCCCAAAAGGCGGAAGCGATGTTAAGCCAACAAATGCGCACCGATTTTCCACCGTTTCTCTCAAGGCCCTAGCCGCCAAGACCTCCAGCAGCAGCACCAGCACTGTGGCATCCTCCGGATAGCCCCGTCTTGTGGTTTTGGGCCCCAACGGATGGTTCGACTCCAACTTCCGGGACATTTCATGTGAGCACATAACCATTTGTCCTTTCGTATCCGCGGTATGCTCGAAAAGAATGCAGAAATAGTACGTGTACCCGCGTCTTGGGTGTGCTTTAAACAGTGACAGGTTGAAACGACCAGCGTTTAAACACTCCCCAAGAGAAACCACGCAGGTATTTGGAACCCAGCTTTCGTACATCCCACTACATCTTTCCGTTGAGTGGGATCCTTCACTTGCTGAATGACACCCTCGTTGGTCAGATAATTTACTTTTTCCGAAGTCAACAATAAAACAAAGAACCAGGACACAGCTGTTCGATCATGTTTTGCCACTGGTCCTCCAGCGCAACTTTCAGCTCGGAGAGCGCTGCGCCACTCCAGGCCATGGCGAAATGGAAGCGAGAAGCGAGCAGAAAATTCGGAACTCAGAAATGGAGCAGGCGATGCGCCAAACCGAGAGATGGTTGTAAACCCACGCAAAAGAGCTGGAAAGGACCAAGAAAGCCGAGAAGCTAGAGAGACTACAATAACAACGGGAACCACCCGGAGCACGGAAAAGCTTCCGCTTCTTCTTTGCTTCGCCTTGGGCACGCTTGAGAAGGCGGCCAGCAGCAACCAGGTTTGCGCAAGCCACGGCCACACTTACGAACGTTCCCGCAACCAGACGTGGATGTGTGTGTGTGTGACACAACCACATCCTTGATCATGCACACGGGCTCACCATCATTTGTTTAACAGGTGCAAAGTTCAATGTCCCACATGGGATCAGACCACCAATACACGGGTTCCTATCAAGTGCATCATGACCTGGTCATGCCACAAGTCCCCTTTGCTTACATGACAGTAGACTCACATAAATCCAGGGTATTCCAGGGTTCAGGGTGGAACTTGATGAATCATTTGGGTGTGTATCTTCTTTTAAGGTATTCTCTTTGGAGTGGATTTGATCCGGAAAGCCTCAAAGATCACCGCCAAACTGGCCCCTATTTTGAGCTGCACTCATCTTGGGCCAGACCGATTTGGGTATATCAGTTTTTATGGTACTCCGCCCCCAAACGGTGGTCTTCCTTGTAGATTTCCTTTTCACCCCACAAAATTTGGGCACCCTGGAAAAATGACATTATTGATAGGCTGATGACCATGCCTGCCAACCCCAAGGGACGGTGTCTTTGGACAATGAATGCCTATCGGCTGCGATACTTCACCGAAGCAAAGAGTAGACCACATCCAGTCCGTCAGAGTTGCCCCTTGTAGAGACCAGCCCAAACATCTAAAGCTGATCAGTGATGCAGCATTGCGTTCAAACTTTCGAGGAACCTAAAAGACAAGGCTAGCACCAACAACAACAAGTTCAAACCAGGATTCCAACAATTACCCCAACTCCAACAACAACCAGCAACTTGCTTTTAAGGCCCTGCTTGACAAGTTGAAGCCGTCGCAAGCCGACGCGACCCCCCCTTCCGACTTCCCCTGGCTCCGTCAACGGCTCAGCGAGTCGCAGCCTCCTGTCCTGCGTTGGCAGAAAAAAATGCACTCGCGCCAGTCACCTGCCTTGTCTGAGTCAAGTATTTAAGACAACAGGATACTGTAGGTCTAGTATTCAAAGCAGGAAGTGATGTTCCTACAGGCGCACTCTAGAGGATTTTCATTCATTGTATGAAGGTCAGTATCGAAATATGGCTGGCCTGAGTGTAGGCTGTGTAACAAGAAATGAATTGGGGCTGATAAATGTTTAGAATCAACTTGCAAGCAGCGTCATTATCAGTCAAGCTAAACTTAAAGGATGACTATGCGCACCTCTCTCTGTTTGCCACATTGAAAATAAGCACACTTGCAAGGGATTCAACATTGAGCGGATTTTACAATAATTTGCCAACTCAAAATACCTCCCTGTCAAACTGGCTGGTGCTCAGTCGGGAATGCGAAATGGAATGAATCCAGGGGCCCCCTCAAAGCAAACCACCCGATGGATGTTTCGTACGGGTCATTTCCCGTGTCACATTCCCTGCATCTCTCGCGCCAGCAAGAAACGGAAGGCTTTGCCAGGCTGACTTTGGCGCCTTCGTGGGCGCCTGAGGCTCTTCTACCGCTGAGCGAGGAACTCCACGCTGTGTCTGCTTCGCTGGAAAGCCAACTTTTGATGAACCAACCAACAAACCAACCAACCAACCAACCAACCAGCCAGCCAGCCAGCCAGCCAGCCAGCCAGCCATAACCAACCAACCAGCCAACAGGGCACCGGCCCCGGTAAAGACCAGCCCGAAGGAAAAAGACAACGCCTCATCTCTCAACATGGGAACCCCGAAAAAACTGGGTCTCTCCGGTCGCCTATGTGAAGCTTGCTGCTGCAATCCATCGGCCCATCCATTTGGGTGTCATTTTTAGGGGACCCCTCCAAAATAGTGTGCCTTTTGCCTTGAAAGCATGTCGAGGGGGTATCTGCAAAACCCAGCCGTTTCGCTCTTCGCCTGCGGGCTGGAGGGCAGGAAGAGCGTCCGCTCCATGTCCTGGGAGCCGAGCGAGCCATCACTCGCTCGCTCGCAGGCTCGCGGGTCAGGGGGGAAGTTGCATTGGGACACGGACCGCTCCTTGGCGAGTCAAATTGAAGGCTGGGTTTATGGGGCTGGTCGTTTAGTCTCCTCATGATTCCTACGAGGGTTGATAGGAGTTTGTCTTTTAGTCTCCTCATGATTCCTAGTCGAGCTTGAACAAATCGAACAGGACGGGCAACTTCTTCAAACAAGCTCGCTTTCTTGGCCCATTTTTTGGGAGAGAAAGCAGGACCCTAGACACGCATCCCAGCCATGCCTGAACTAGCACAGGGCTTCCGAGGAAGGTTGCCCAAAAGTAGGTCAAAGGTGTAGCTTTTTCGGCAAGTAGGTCGTTTAACTTGCAAACAAACTTGTCATCATGCGGAAAACAATGGCTATAGATCTTTGAACCTCACACTTGGATGATCAACCTAGAGACTAACCGATTCGTCATCCCTATGACTCATGACAACCATAGCTGTCAACTCAAACTGCTAAGTCGGTTTCCCCACTCGCAGTCAGCCCCTTGCAATTTTGCTGCCCTTTTCCGGCAGCCCTTCCATTAAAAAAAAAAAACACAAAACATGACAATACACATGCGCAGATACAGCCCCCCTAAGATTAGGATGGGTCTCACTAGCCCAAACAGTACATAGATATTACATGAGGGGCATACGCCAGGTTTTCACGTTTCAGGATCGAGCACACGCATTTGAGCTCGCGGCGCTGGTGGTAGAGCTTTCAAACTCCTGTGCTGAGTGGGCGTATGTTATATTGCAGTCAGTCCCTTTTTTGGGGGGCTGTTTTTTTTTTTTAAGAAACCGAGAGGAAAGCCACAGTTTTCCTGGGTGTGTGCCCTTTTTAGGGCGTACGGGAAGCCCAAAAGAAATCCACGGCGGGGGGGGGCCCCTTTTCGGGGTTGTTTGGACATGCTCATTTGGGCGTGTTGTTGTTTTTTCCTGAGGCTAGGGGAAACCAACAGGAAACCAGCCATCTGAGGGCACCCTTCTTGGGGAAGCTCGAAAGCAACGCCTCAGGAACAGGGACCCCTCGTTTGAGCAGCGATACAAGTTTTGCAAGCGCAATTCTGTATGAAAGGCTGATATGTGTTTGGTGTTGCTGTTGGGTAAAACGCAGAACTCCCTAGGCAAAAATCAAGAGCAGCAAAAGCCAAACACACACAAAAACTCAAGAACGCAACTAAACATGCTGTTCGGAAAACCTGCCATAAACCTGGCGCGGGCCGCGGTCGGTGCCCTTACGACCAGCGCCGGTGGCATTATCTTCAACATTTTGCATGCGCACACCAGCGCTTTTGGGCAAAAAATACAACAAAAAACACAAGCAACAAAACAAGCCGAAACAAGCTCCTCCCCGCTCCTGCCCCCTCCTCCCCCCCCTCCCATGTGCCTTGTGTTGTTCTGTTTCTTTGTGTCTCCCCTGATTTTGGTTTTTAGAGCATTCAGCATTGTCACATCCTCCCACCCCAGTCCATTTGCCTTTTGTTGCTGTCTTTTTGCCTTCCTTTCGTTGTTATTTGGCTTGTTTGCTTTGCTTTGCGTTTTCTCTGGGGTATTTCTGCATTTCACACCACCATCGTGGATCACAAGCAGCGGGTGTATTTGACACCTTTGCTGCTTGAATGAAGGCATCCCCTCATTCTGAATCCATGCCAGTGCTCGAAGGTCACTTAGAGATTCATATCTCCCAATTGCTTCATGCGTATCGGAACAGGTCAAACAATCTAAAGCAGGAAGCAAGATCAGCAAAGGCTTTGAAAACTCCGTAGGGTGCCCTTCTGAGAAAAACAAGCAGTTGAGTAGAAACAAAGTGAAACCACAACCACCTGTGAATTCAACTGACCTTGTTTCCCAGCCGACTCGCAAGGAGAGCCCTGGGAATCATTGGTCCTTGGTTCCTGATACTCACTATTAGTCATGAATTCTGTGGATGGTTGCGAAATCCGCTTCTCGCACCACTTTGAAGCCATGGTTGAAACCATGGTTTGTTTGTATTTACAGGGAAATCGTATCATTCCAGGGTTTCTTAGGTGGTGCCTAAGAGGATTTCGCAACCATCCACAGTATCAGCTTCCCTGGACTCGGTGCTTTGGAAGGTTGGAAGCTTGGGGGTAGCTTCTGATTTACCCTCTACAAGAACCAGGGGTTCAAATCCCCAAACCAATCCAAAGCACCAAACCACCAACCAACTGAGGCTAGCCATGGCTCCGAATTAACATACTATTCTGGGCTGCCGTCAGATCCCCTACTCAAAGTGAAACTGTTAGTGGGTTAAATGGAAACTACCACTAAACCAACTAAAACCAACAGGCTAAAGGGATGGCTGAGAGCCACCAAATATTGACAGAGAGTCGACCACGGCCGCCGGTCGCACCCCACACTTCCCCAACCCGCTCAAGTCCTGTCGACGATGCCGCGGACGCTGAGCCGCCAACGGCTCGGAAGCACCTTAGCTGGGCCAGCCGTGGGGCTGCCCAAAAATTGGGGGAGGGAGGGAGGGAGGGGGGGAGAATGGGCGCCTGTTGGTTGGCGATCTAAGGCAAGACAAAAATAAGATCATTTAAGGTACACCAACAGAAATAGGAACTAATCCTTGAATCACTTCAAGGTACACCAAAACCAATCCAGCGTTGATTTTGGGTGCACCAAAAAGAAAACCACCCTATTAAACTCACACACCAAAAATGAACTCCCTCATCCCAGCTTTGGTCCCAAACTACGACCAAGTATCTGCCAGTGGAAGGGTGGTACAGGTGTCTCCCAATTCCATTTGGGTGTGGGTCAAAAATAGGCATCCAAAATCGAACCCTGGTAAATGGAAAGGACTGCCATGCCCATGTATCTAGTCTTCCAAGCTACGGGAAAACGGGTTGCCAGAAATGCTCTTTCAGGGGGTCCCCTCCAGATTCATCCACACCCCGTGCCCTGCCTTGATGGGGTTGGCCACTACTGAAAAACCCGTATGTGCCACTGTTAACCCCCAGTCACCCAAAACAATCCAGCAACTAGCTTCGGGGGTTCTTTAACCCTCTGGGAATGAATTCTTGGTTGACTGGTTGCCAGCTGGTCACCCCGATGCCCGTTTTTGAGGGGCCCCGCTTCGACGCTGGCGCGGCCTCGGCTGGCCTCGGCGGGAAAAAAAAGCGGGAGCGCTGGCGCTAGGGCGCCAAAGACGCCGTTTTCGGACTGCTTTTTTCTTGCTTGCTTCACCTTCTGAAATAACCAAACAGGGTACACGTTGGAAGGGAAGCCAAAAATTGAATTCTAGCAGTTAAGTGGGGATTTCTCACTAAACCACAACAAGCAAAAATGTAAAATGTGTCTCAACAACAACCATTGTACCCTCCCAAAATACATTTTTGGTTTTCCTCTGCGTCCCCTCCAAAGGAAAACTCACACGCAGACTGATGGAAACCAACTTTGACAGTGGATGTTTCTCCAATGGTGGTGCTTGCAGCAGCATGTCTTTGGAAGCACTCCAGAACTGGCAAGTTCAGTCATTACTCTCCTGGCACACTGATTTCTTGCTCCGGGGAGTCAATGTAGCCGAATAGTCACTGGTAACTAGTAGTGACTAGTAACTAATCGCGACTCTTAGGGGCCATGAAGGATCCAAACAGGGCACGACCCTCTCATTGGAATCAGTGGAACATCCCTATGACTCCCTTTAAAAGTCCGGTTGGGCCTTTGGCCCCTCGCTGGCGATCTTAAACAAGCAACAATCCACAATCATTCCTCATGGGCGGCTCGTGTTTTTTGAGGCTCAGTACCCTTTCTGGGTGGTTTTAAAGGGAAACGAAAAGGAAACCGAGTTTAAACCTCCTGTGGAAAATACCCCAGAGATGTGTGAAGCCACCCCCCCCCCCGCTATGAGGTTTGGGTTGTGACCGTCCCCAATGAATCTAAGGTCGTTCCGTTCTGATCTATCATGTCCTTACAGAACTCCTGGTGGCTCCGAAAACCTCGTGTTCTTCAGCAGCAATTTTGGATGCCAGCTCCTTAGCTCATCTCTTTTCTAAGCACCAGCCAGTGATAGCTGCAAGCTGCAAACCACACTCTGCCCATCTGAGCCTCCACACTCTCGAAGCCCTGCGCGGGGCTTCGAGTCACAAAGCACTTCCAGGTCTTTGCAGCTTGCAGTCAGCATGTACGACATGTCTATGGGGGGGGGTTGAGCAATATGGCCCCAAAATGACCTTGGCTAACTTCTCCCGTGCGGTGAAAGTCATCCTTGTTGGTGGTTTCCCTGATGGTCACCCCATGGTATGGATGTTCCTCAAAATAAAAGCCGCCTTTTGGAGAAGCTCTAAGCGGAAACCACAAGGCTTGGTCCCCGTACAGGACATGTGGGTGTTTCTCCAAACCTGGGGACGCCTCTTGAAGTAATTAGGTGGTTTCTGTTCCATTTTCAGACACGCCCATAGGGACTTGAGTGTTTCCCCCTGGTTTTGGTGGTTGAGTGAGTGAGCTCCTCTCTCGCCCAGCTCTCTCGCCCGGCCCGCAGCCGGAGGCGCTGCACCGCGCCTCGCGCAAGAAAAACAAGGAGAACAACGTGTCGAACTCGCCACCTTGGGTCCTTCTCAAAAGCGGGGTTCCTTTTCCGGGATGGTCGGTCAAGGCACCAAATGGAAGCAAACATGTGCAGGACCGTATAGGATCATACAGTGGATTGTTGCGAAATCCATCAAACGCACCACCGTTCAGAAACCCAACGCAATGACATATGATTCAGCGGAAAAGCCAAAAAGCAACGGTTTCAACCATGGTCTCAAAGTGTTGCAGGATTTGCCCGTCCACAGTAAGGACTCCTTTTCTGCAATCATCGCTCAAGGGAAGTCAAGAGGAAAGCGACCTGGACCGGAGTTTTGAAACAAACTGCCAGTGGCATTCCCTGCAAAGATGCAAAGCTTGAGCAACTCAAAGTAGTTGTGAAGATGAATTCGAATAGAGTGACAATCCATAACATGATGATCACCATGGAACACATGGCACAACAAGATCCGTCACTGACCCTCACACATGTCTTACGGTTAGAAGCTTTGACCATACATGATGCTTGCCCAAACATGTCAGGCTTGGTCTAATTGCGTTATTATATGAGCAACGGTCAATGCTCATGGTGCCACCTCAATGGCGTAGATATTGGTGAGCAAAGCCCCGTTTCCTCATCGCAGCTTGGTGAATGTACCTTGTGTCATCCCCTTGACATGTGTCTTCACTGGACGCCAGCAATGTCATTCAGAAAGCGTGGGCTTGGGGGGTCCAATCAGGGCTCACAGGTTGAGGGTTCAAGATTTTGCTTCGAGGTCAGATATTGTTCACTGGTTTTGGGGCTCATAGGTTTACGACTCACGAAGCTTTGATTAAATTTCTTTCAGGTTTGGAGCTTGAGGATTTGTTCAGGATTTGCAGGGTGCTCACTCGGCCCCCTAAGATGGTTGGTCTCCCTCTGTTCCTGTACATACTCACCCAAGAGGGTCCATTTTGAGAAAGACCCATTTTTTGTTTTACTTGCCTCTTTGTTGGTTCTTTTGAAAAGGCAAGCCAAAAGGACAACTACCATTTTTGCGGGGCCCAATGACACAGCCTTCTTGGGCCCGGGTCTTTCTACACTCGACGTCTTCTTTTGGTGAAAAAACCTCGGCCTGCCAATGGCTCGGAGAAAGGCTCGGTGCGAGCGCGGGAGGTCATGACGGCCTGCGCGGCGCAACTGGCGCTTGAACGTGAAATGGCCGAAGCTGTGGATGGACAGAATCCGCCAACGGTCGTCAAGCAACTTGGCGCGGCATTGACAGTTGCCCACAGTGACAGTGGTTTTATGTCAAAACGTGGAAATGGACCCAAATGGACCCCCCCGGATAAAAAAAAAAGACAAAGAACTCCGTTCGATTTCCCTTTAGCAGGGTTAACTCAAAAAACACAACACACACACACACACACACCGTCGCATCTGGCGCGGTAAGGGCGGCGAGAAAGTCTGGTCACGTTGACCTGGAACCCTACCGAAACCCATTGAAGACCTAAAAGGGCAGAATCCCGGACATGGGTGGCTCGTCTTTTGGGGGACCCCAACAGTTGTGTTCTTCCCTGTGGCTTCCATGTAAAAAAGAAAGAAAAGGGGAGGCCCCCCCAAAAAACGACAGACCCGCATTGCAACCTTCAACTTCGGCCAGCCCATCAGAAAAACGAAAATTGGGTACTTGAAAATGGTCGGGAGTCCAAGTGCGGAGAAACCTGCAGTTGACCCCCCCATTACCAACCCGAAAAGCATGGTACAGCAACTACCTCTTGGAACGCTTCCAAACCAAGCCCCTCCCTCCCCCCCCACCTTTCCCGAACCCCGCCCATCAGTCCCCCCCCCCCTTGGGCCTTGGGTGGTGGTTTCAGCAAAACAAAAAGGTTGAGATCCCATTCCAGATGCAACAAATGGAGCCCTTTTCCGGGCTCCTATCTATCTCCCTACACGCCCAGCACCTTTCCAGTCGCCATGGGTTCACGTTTGCTTCACTGGGGGCTACAGGGTTCCCTGCATTTCCCTTTAAATATGGGAACTAACAGGGCAAAACAACTGGGCGGCCCACAGCTACCTTGCTACGACGATTCCCCGCCAGCGGCCCCGCCTTGTCGCTCCGCGCCAGATCTTTCAGCCGGCGCTGGGCCTCCACGCGGGCACCGCGCACAACTTCCCCCGAGACCAAAAGGGTCGGGCGGGGCTTTCGGGCTACCTGTCCAGAGGCTAACACCACCCTCCTCATTGTTGGGCTTGCCTTGCAAGGCAAATCTAAACCGAAATGCCTCTAAGTTCCTATCCTAGTCAGCACAAAGCTACCTGTGGAAACACAAAGCGGACCAACTGGCGGGCAGACAAGCCTAATAGTCAATCATCAAACGGCATTCCTAACTAGTATCATTCCATCACGCGTGTTCTTTGTCTGGCTCTCGGGGGCTGCGATCTTTAAAAAAGTGCACGGGAGTGTCTGTAAATACTCCATGCGCAGTCTTAGCATCTAGTTCATCCCCTTGAGGAGCACCTCGTAGTAGTAATTCAACTTCTTGGCAACTTCTGTGCAAAAGTCGTTCCAGGACTCAGAGGACTTCGTCCACGATGGCGGCGGAGTCTTGCCTTGCTGTTTATCAGGCGAGTACGCCAACTGGAAGCGAAAAAAGTTGGCCTTTGGCGGAGGGTCTGACAAGGGCTCCAGTGCCTCAGCCCGTGGGTAGCGCTTGGTAAGCCATTGGCTGAGCGCCTCGAGCGTGTTGCCGTTGGCGTGCAGTTGCTTCACTTCCTCTTCGATTAGGGCGAGGCGGCAAAGACGCTTGGCCTCTATCTCTTGCTGCCGCTTGGCCTGCACGTCTCGCATGAACTTAGTGGCGTCCAAAAACCATTGCTTCTGGTACAGCTCACCCTTGAGCGGACAACCCGAAATCACTGAGCTCACATCCAAGTCTTGAGCACGCATGCTCAAGGCCTGGCTGATGCAATCGTAGTAGCGCCTCTCTGCTTGCTTCATCATGCCCAGGTGTTTGTATAAGAGACCCAAGTGCGAAAGGCAAACGCAGGTCAACTCTACGTCGGGGCTGCTGCCATGGAGGATGAAATGTGCATCACTATCCACTTGGCAAACTTGGAAGGCCTCGATCAAGCTGTCCAGGGCACCAATCATGGCATCCATGTCAAAATCATCGCTCTCCTGCAGCAGTTGCGACTGCTGCTGCAAAGCCATTGCAAGCTTGATCACAGCCGCGCCTCTGTGTGAAAGAAATTTCACTTGCTGCTGGAGGTCTTCGAAGCTGGGCAAATCATCAACCGGCGGGTTGTCGAACGCGCCGGGCTTGGAGAGCCACTGACAGGCTTCAGCCAATACTGGCGAGCCTTCGTCCAGACTTGGAGCTCTGAGATGTCATGTTTCAGTCGCCCAAGCTTAGATGCTTGGATCAGCTCATCATAGCTACTCCCATCAGTGATCCTGGCTGCCTTATTGAAGAGGAAGGCCGCGCATACAGCTGCCATGCTACCGCACTTGGGCACTCCTGCCAAAATGCGATAGCTAGCAAGTCTGCGGCACAAAAGGTCCCATGAACCATCATCTGCAAGTAGCCGAGCACGGTGACCAGTGTGCTCGATGGCCTCTTTCAGGTGGTACTTGAGACCGTTCGCATCCTCGCCCTCCGCCGCGCACTGGGCCAAGCGCAGATGAACGATGCTCAAGTTCTTGTAAAGCTTGTGAACTTCCCGGTCCACGCAAGCTAGGCTTTCTTGATAGCCCTGGCCGGACTTTTGAAACAAGGCCCGCTTCTTGGCAAGGTCCTCCTCCCCCTTTGCCTGATCATATGCCTCCTTGGCGTACGCCAACCACCGGTGACCCTTCGCTGCCTTCTCTGCCTCAGCTTGCACTTTCCGCAGCCCATCCATCGCAGCCAGCAAAAGATGTGCAACCAAAAAGCGCAGCCGCTTGAGAAGAATACACATCAGTCAAACAAATCAAAGTCACGGCATGACTGCGCAAGCCTGCTACAGAGATTCGCCCGCTCATTTACGTTTCGACCACAGTGCTCCTCACGTGCTGGTGCAGTTCAGCTCAACTGACCAACAAGAGTCTGAAATCTCAAAAAGTTGAAAGTCCATGACTCAAGGAGTGAGCCAGCAACAAGGCGCAAACCAGGCAAGCAATGTGACTTCAACAAGAGGGAAGCGGGTGAGCTTGATGTCCTGGAAGGGGGGCGCAAAACAATTTTGGCGTCAGGGGTGATCCTTGAGACGCCACATTGGCGCCCAATGCTCCCCAGGGTGGTCCCTCCTTCGCCTTGTCGCCCCAACCCCTCCCCCCTGAGGCTGACTCCTGCTGGAAGGCAGACTCCGCCTCGACCGAGCTCGTTGGAATCCGGGGATATGGCGCCTATGGTGCTCAAGCAACTGAGTAATGTTGACCCCATATTCATCAAGCCAGTTTATGAGTTTCTGGGTTTGGTGGGGAATCATCACTTTTGGAGGGGAACACCCCCTTATGCATAAACATGAGCTTATTATTCATCTGGGGTGAACATTCAGTAGGGTTCTAAACATGGTTGCAAGGGGAAGAACCCCAATTGCCCCAGTTAGCACCATATTTATATCTAACATCTCGCCTTCGCCCAGCAAACGGCCATGAACTATGCATCAACACTAAGCCGGAGCAAGGGATCCCACAAACAAAGCACGCATCAGGACAGGCCGCAGCAGCCTTGATGAGAACTGCTTGGAAATTACAGGGTCCATGAAAGTGACATGCTCAAAATGACCCTCCGATATCGTGTTGGAAAGGGAAACTAAGGGAAGCCACCTGAAGAAAAAAAACAAAGAGAACCCCTCAAAATGTCAACCACTCCAATAGATCCAAAGTACGCGTAGGGCACCTTGTCATTGCACAACCACCGATCCGAACTCGTTTCGACGCCTCGGCTCTCCGTCGCTCCACCTGGCACACCCCCCCGGAGGGTTGGATGCGCTGCTCAGGGGTTGGATGGGCTGCTGAAAGGCGTGCCCTGTGGCCGTTGAAGGGAAGAGGACATCCGCGCCGAACTAAGCGGTTTACTGCTGAACTAAGCGCAAGTTCTGGTGGGCTCCCAAAAGAAAAGCGCGACATGTTGAAGGCGCCTGTGAGACCAGTTGAGTAATTCGTGCATCAAATGTTTCAAATGAGTCGTCTCGTGCCTCGTGTTTCCGGCATGAAGCGGCTCGAATTCTTGCACTGATCTGGAAGCCCTGCCCGGCAAGGTCATTTTTTTTGGTTGGCTTAAAGGGAAAGCAAAGAAAACACACCAACTTCTGAGACCCTTTGCAAATGGGGACACTTTCCTCAAATTTCAACCCTGCTGTGTGACCCTCATTTCACCTCTTGTATGGGCCCCAAAAAGGCGATGTGCCGTCTAGGTCTTGCCATGACAACTTGGATTTTCGTGCCAGCTAGGGCAGAACCATGGTCGTACCTGGTCGGGCGGGGTCAAGTCTTGTATTCTACACACCTGTGTGTTGAACACAACCAGGCGCATGTGACAACCAGAGCTGGGCCAATACCTTCCTATTGCCTCTCGCCCTGCGCCCTCCCTTTGACCATTTGCTTTTACGCCCCCTGGAGAAAAAATAAGAATATATAAAAAAAAAAAAAAAAAAAAAAAAAAAAACTGAAAAAAAAGAGGGAAAAAAAGAAAAAAAACAATCCAACATGATAGATTCCCTTTTACAACCAAGCCGGGGGAAATAACAAATGGACGCCTTCAAAAATAAGGGGCGTCGAAAGAGGGCGCTCGCGCCTGCTCCAGAGCGTTCTCCAGGGACGCCTCCCTGGAGCCTCCGATGCGGAGGGCTGGGTGTCCCTACCCGCAAAGGGGTCCTCCATTTTCGAGAAAGCTCCTTGATGTACCCATCGAAACCCTTGGAAGGGGAGCACGGCACCACTGGAAAACGCTTTGCGGAATTGGTGGAGAGCAACCTGTTCTGACCCCGGTTGGTCCTTCTTTAGTAAAATATGTTAGTACTCTTTCAATAATATCCTTCAAGGCTAGGCTAGATCTACAAAAGCCACATCTAAAACGTTTTCTAGAGAGTGGGGATGGGACGGTTCTCGTTTTGGGTTCCCGTCAAGGCCAACCGAAAACGGGGAAAGAAGACGTCCCGGATGTGATTCTCTCAGGCAGAAGCTTACCTTTTGGTCACCATGGCTGAAATTCAACACCCCTGAAGTTAGGATTCCCTACTGTGGATAGACGAAATTCTGCACCTAAGAAACCCTGGAATGATGATTCTCCTGCAAATACCAACAGATTGTGGTTCAACCACGGTTTCAAAGTGGTGCGAAACGGATTTCGCAACCATCCACGCTATGAAAGGAAGCTTCCTCCCGGAGGAAGTACAAACCCATGCCCTTGCTGAGGTCGCTAGCTCAAGTTTCCCAACCACCGCACCGGGCGCGATTGGCTGGGCGCCCCACCGGCCGACCGCATCTCCTGCACCAGCCTTGCGGGAGAAAAACGGCAGCCGCCAAAGTCGGTGGCTGCAAACCAACTTTATGGGTGTGTGTCAACATACTGATGGACGAAACCCAGTTTGCGCCACCTAAGAAACCCTGGAATGGTCTGATTCCACTGCAAGTACCAGCAAAATTGGTTTCCCTTGGTTTCTTGGGTGGTGCTTTCACAGCCCGGTTTAACACTAGCAGAGACGTGCATGGATTCCTTGAAGTTGGTGCTGGAACTGGACCTCTCGGGGGCCGAAGCAAAGGTGTGTCTCACAGGGGACCTCAGAAATGGTCGTCCTGTTGGTTGTCCTAAGCACCCCAAGCATGATACCCTCCAACAAGCCAGCTGCTCTTGCCAGGCCCAAAACACGCTAATGACCACAGTCCTTCAAACACAACCCTGTCCTTTGATACAAATCTGGAAAGGGAGGAAGAACGGTTCCCTTCGGGCTACCACAACATCAGGGAACCCTGCACCTTCAGAAAGGAACCAAGTCAATGCATCCACCCTTCAAAAACGGCGGACCTTTCTTGTTAATGCTCCAGGCTCTTTGATTCCTGGTTTGAAGGGTTCACCAAAACAAAATCTGGTGTGTGTGTGTGTGTCTTCTTTTGAGGGCACCCCCTTTTGGGCGGTTTTGCAAAGAACAACCAACAGGGGGTCCCCCTCCATTCTTGGTTGTTCTTTGGAGATCTCCCCCCTAAAAAACGGGGCAGCCAAACAGACCCATATAGAGGCAGCCACCACTCAAATGCCCAGTGGCCATGGCAAAAAAAGCTTCGACATCCTGTTCTGGTTGGTTGACTAGAAGAAGGAGAAAAAGGAACCCTTCCCAAAACAAAGTTGGAAGAAAAAAGGGCACCGCAACCCGCTGCTTGCAACTGGGACCACAAACGACCCCAACCTGGGGCCCGAGCCCCGACTCCCCGAGCCACGCCCAGCGCGGAGACCCACGTCTCGGGCCCCGGCTGCGCCATCTCCCGGTCCCTCCGCGCCAGCTCTGCACGGCTCAGCCTCGGCCGGTGACGAGGTCCCCCAGCCGAGGGCTCCTTTGTTTCTGGGCTGGAAGTCGGAACCCAGCAAACATATGCATATATACATATATATATATATATATGTACAGATGAGAGGAAAGGTAGGCCCTGGGGGGGAACATATACAGATATATATATATATATATTATATTTATATGTATGTATGTCTCGTTTGCCTGGTGAGTGGAAAACAAAGGGGAACCCAAAAAAACACAACACAAAAAGGTGAGCTAGTTCTGGGGAAGGTTTCTTTTTGTTGAACACATGGGTGGTCAGGTCCCTCCCTCTTCCACAAAAAAATCAGGTGGTTTCTCGTGAAACCAAAAAAGGGTACCCTCAAGAAAAGACATGCCCAAATGTTTTTGTGCATTTTTCTTCGCCAGAAAAACACAAGCTTTAAAGACCTGAATTTGTCGAATTGGTTGGTTTGAGTGGTTTTTGTTTTGCGACTCCTCTACCCTGTCCCAAAGACCCAAGACCCTAAAACGAAGGGCGGTTGACCTCAGACCTCAAAGCCAACAAGGTGATGGGCTAGGGCGTTGATGATGTCGTCGTTTGTTTATTTTCGCTGGGACTTGTTGGTTGCTCCGAACATCTTGGAAGAAGGGTAGAACATTGGTCTTAGGCAGGAAGTATCACAATGAGGCCCATGGCTCCAGGTATGGGTTGAACACAAACTTGTCGGTACTGTGAGCAAGCGATCCTTCAGTGCTCCCTGATCCAGTGCAGAAAGCGCCTAGTGAGGTTGAAAATTAGGGGTCTCCTTTGTCTCAACCCTCGAATACTAGATAGTTTGAACCAACGGAATCCACCTGCTGTTGCCACAATGCGCATGAGAAAATGGAAAAACCAGCGCATTCTGCTGCTGTTCGTGGCTCAAACCAGCTGGTTAGTGCCACGCTATGGCGGCACCCCGGCACCCCACAAAGTATCCGATCCAACTCAGGAAGCCGGCGGGATACAAGCAGAATCGTCCACTAGCAAACAACCAAGTTGGAATACCAAGGCCCCAAAAGGGAAACGGAAACCAAGACCGACACCTGCGTAACCCTAGCTCTGAAAGCCACACCCATCTCTAGCTCTGCCGCGGGATGCTCTTTCCTTGGGCCAAACAAAACCTCTGCCAAGCAGCGCAAGCTGCTCCTCCAAACGGAGGATGTCGGACTCCCGCGCTGCAACCTGCACCGTTCGCTCGCGCCGGCGACGTGCATCGTGGACGGCTAAGGCCGGTGTGGTTCAGAGAGTCCCTAACCAGGGTTATCACAAAGGTTTGGGGGTGTCTTGTTGGACAGTCCCCCCTTTTTCGTGGGGTTTAAAGGGAAACCGAAAGGAAACCCACCCCTTTGGGGGGGGGGGTTCACCCAAACACGCACACACACAGACA